AGCTGGACTTCTGGGAGTCGAGGGCGGTGAAGGTCTATGAGAAGTCTGAACCGCAGGAACCCTAGTCATGATAGGGCTGACTGCAGTTGTTTCGGGCTTTTGCCCCGCTTGAAAAGTGAACTTGGACAGTAAATTTGAGTTTTGTCGGTCAACGTGGTAGTCAAGAGCCTGGCTGAAACGTGGGGAATTCGGTGTGGTATCCCTGGGACTATTCTGAGATATTTCAAGGTTCTCAGTCACCACGGCTTTGTTGGAAGTAGGGTTAGAAAGGGGTTCAACTTCACTGGGCTTGCCAGATATCTCAAGGTTGCTCTCGGGTCTAGACTCAGCAGGCCCAGGCGCAGTACTGGGATCGGGAATGCTGGACATTATGTCTTCTGCCATTTCATCAGAGAAGACACCAACCACTGATTTGCGTGACCGTTTTGACCGGAAGAGCTTTTGGCCGCTAGGGCTAGCTTGTTCGGAAGTAGGAGCAAAAAACCGACTGCGAGCAGGGGAACAAGCAGGTAGAGGATCGCCTTCAACCTCAGAGCAAAGTCTCTGCCTCTTTGTGGGCTGTAAGGTCGATGATCTTGCACTTTGGGCCAGGAAAGATGAACGTTCCACACTCCGAACCATAGGGCTGAGGCCTTGGTCAGAAAAGGCCCTGAGAGGTGTGGATCTGACCGAGTTGGAACGGAAGGGCGCGGTATTGGCCTGCCAGCTATTGTTTGCATTGCGCTCCAGGAGTCGCTGCTGGCTTGGAGACGGAGTTAGGCTGTTAGGGTCCAGCTCAGCCAGCGGCGTCCTCTTCGGCGTGAAGAACGAATTGATGGACTTTCTGGGCTTCAGCTCGGACGAAGTACCCAACGTCTGGCGGCGATTGATTCCAAGGGTCCATCTATTTGCGGTTAAAGGCTTGATAGTGATTGGTTGCTTGGTGGTTGGATCCAGATCGCCTCGAGAGACTCCGGCGGCAATTTCCGGCTCCATGTCGGCGCCGATATACGGCAGCGCGGCCAAATTGACATCCTTTTCCGGTGGCGTCAAAGTCACTAGCTTTTCAGCTTTGCGGCAGAAGACTCGTTGGTAAAGGAAGGTCAACTCGGCCTGTCTGAAGTTGGCAAGATAGTCGGCTGGGACTCGGAAATTGCCCTCAAATTGGAGCATGCGCAGCGCTTTTTCAACATTTCGATGTTTTCGAATAATCCGATAGGCAGTCTTCAGCCCCAGCTTAGGAATATTTGCCAAGTAATCACAACCGCTCAAAATGCACATGTTCCTGAAGTCTGGATCACTGAAGCCAACCAAGCTGACCTCGCGGCAAGCAGTAAAATCGGCGCGATTTATCTCAATGCATTCCCCGTGTTGGTCCAATTTGGAAATCAACCGCTTTGCGCCAAAGACAAGCAAATCTGAGTCCTCAGATATGATTCCATCAATATCGCCCTGTTGCTCCAGGTACACCAGCTGGGCATCTGCTTCATACGGGGCCACCACATATTGGACATTCATTTGCTTCAGTTCTTCAATCAACTGCCGGGCCATGTAGGGTGTCACATCGACGGCCTTTTGGAACTCCTGGTAAGCTTCTGGCATCCGCCCTTTCCGTTGTAACTCCAGTCCAAGGGTCTTGCTTTCCTGACGCCGTTTGTAGCGATCCTGTTCGGTGCCTGCCTTGCTGGGTAGATTGTCGCCATCGAAGACGAGGTAGGGTTTCACTCCGAAGAAAAGAAGCATGCGGACTCGATTGAGGACAAAATCAATGTGTCTATCATAAGATAGCATTGTTAGCAAAGGGTCCAAGAAGAAGATATCAAACAGACATACTTCCGAGTAGGGTTGTCCAGGACCAGATCCACGGAACAAGCAACAGTTCCACGGTGCAGCCATCCATATGCATCGACTCCGAGTGTTTGCCCGTTGAAATTCTTAATATGACATGGTTTCTGAATGGACTTGAGAAGCCCGTGAAGTCCTGTTTGTTTGTGTTAAAATTGCCTTTCATCTCCCCCCTAGACAGTCCCAAGGCAACATACCTTTAATGCCCATGGTGGACACCGTGCGAGGGACAGGCGGGTCCTCGAATTCAAGCAATAAATGATAACATAAGTTGAGATTTTCACAAGTGGGAGACTAATGAATATGGAATACAATGCGAGGTCCAAATCAACTCCCAGTTAAAGAATTGAAGGAGTAAATAACTCCTGGAATGTCCCTATCTCGACGCGCAGACGCGCTTTCCTCGAGTGGGGAAGGCGGTGATTTCGGGGTCACCGCCTAATTATGCCGGTGCATCCACGAAAATTATCATCGAAATCTACGGCGGAGTGTTTGGAGTAATTCTTGTCATCAGCCCGCAACCATGCCTGTTACTTTAGAAAAAGTGCACAAGCAGATTTCCAAGAAGCGCAGTTCCACGAATGCGCTTCATGAGAACAGTCGCGATGCCCACCGCCTCCGCAAAGCTGGTGCTCGCGACGATCGATTGTCCCGCCATAACGCCACTGTGAACCGCGCAAGACAGCCATACTGTGAGCCAGCTGCCCATTTCAATTGAAGGCCACCCAGCTAACTCAGATAGTGGATCGAATTGATTACATCTTTGAGGCTATTCAAGAGCTTACTGAGGCCCTTTCGACCGAAGAGATTTCCGAGTTCGTCGCCAAGTATGTAACACCTACGATCCACCACCACGCTCAGGACTAACCCAACCCAGGTACATTGACCGTGATACCGAGGAGATCAAACAGCTTGAGTCAGAGCGCCGGAAAGGACGTCCTCCTAGCAAGCGCGAGGAGGCCTTGAAACAGCGGGTGCAAACCGAGGGTCGGGAGTTCTCGACCGGACTGTGGATGCCCGATCTGGGCGATCAATATGCGATGACCGCAATGAAGAACTGGAATGGACACTGGTCGGGTCTCAGCGCGATCAAGTTCATGCGGTTCACAAAAGCCGGAGAAAAACTCACGTCTACTTTCCCCCCGAAGAGCATGTCATGATCACGATTCCTTTTTCTCTATATTTTTTTGTCTGGTGTCCAAAAAGACTGGGTTGGCGCATTATGGGTACATTGATTCTTCTCTAGATTCTGTACAGCCGAATATTCTCGAATATACCATTTCAATTCAATGCGGTTGTGTTGTCCATATATATAGTTTCATGCGCCAGGCTTTCCATCCAGCCGTTCGTGCACATATAGTAGAGCGAGTTATGATAGGAATTAAAATCGACCCAAATTACTGACTGTCCTCTTCAATGAAAGTCAATTGAAATTATATATGGCCTTTTTGTCTAATGTCGAATCAAATTGCGTGGTCGCGCAAAGTCGGGCAAAACAGAAGCGCCGGTCTTGGCACTCGTAATAACTTAGCTCATTTGCTTTTTCCCAAGCTCTCATCTTCATCAACTTCAGACAATCCACATTCACAATGCTTTCTCTTCGCACTATCACCCGCTCTATCCCGCGCACTTTCTCGCGCTCCATTGCCACTTCGGCTCTGCGCCCAGCACTTCCCAAGCTCGCTCTCCAGCAATCCTGGAAGCAGGCCATTAAGCCCACCTACGCTGCCTTCTCGACCTCTAGCATCTTCAAGGCTCCCTCATCTGAAGGTAAGATGGATTGAATGATGTTTGAAAGAGTCCGCCGAAATCCGAGCTTGTCTAGTGGCGGATTCCGTATGTGGCCATGGGCTGATTTTCGATTTTCTTTTTTTACAGTCGATATTGAGCTTCTCGCCAAGCTCGAGGATGAGCTGAAGCACGAGAAGTCTTCCGAGATCCCTGAATTTGAGGAGCAACTGGAAGCCATCGAGGAGACTATTAAGCACGGCGAGTGGCAGGTGAAGGATGTTGCAGGTGACCAGGAGGTCATCCTCACCAAGAAGTTCGGCACCGAGAAGTACGATTCATACCACTCTATTCCGCTTTTTAATCTCAATGATAAATGCTGATACATATCATTGCTTAGCATCCGCGTCAGCTTTACCGTCGCCGATATCCAAAACATCAGCGAACAGGAGGACTTCGACGACGCCTCTCTGACCGATGAGTTGGACTTCCAGAACCAGTCCCGCGGCCAGGATGCCGAGGCCTCCGCCGAGGAGGACATTGAGCAGCCCGAGCCCAGCTTCCCTGCCCGTGTTACCATCACCGTTGAGAAGCCCAACAACGGTGCCCTTCTGATCCAGACCGTTGTCCAGGACGGTGTGTTCCAGATCGAGGAGGTCTCCCACTTCGCCAAGGCTGAGCTCGCCCAGTCCCTGACTGCTGAGAAGGACTGGGCTCGCCAGAGTCTCTACGCCGGTCCCCCCTTCGAGAACCTCGATGAGGACCTTCAGGGTCTCTGGGACCGCTACCTCGAGGACCGTGGCCTTAACGCCGAGTTCGCTAATATGGTCCCTGACTACATCTCCGTCAAGGAGCAGAAGGAGTACTTGCGCTGGTTGGAGAGTATGTCTACCTTCCTACATAATGTTTGTGTGACTCGTGCTAACAAAACCTTCCACCTTTAGCCGTCAAGAACTTCATTGGTGCTTAAATTAACTACCCCATTTAATCTTCGACTCATTTCCTCTTAATCTTGTCGGAGGTGCCTTTTGATAATGAGAAGTTTGCCTGATATGGAGATACCACCCTTGTGCCTCCATATCATGGTTAGCTCTAGTGCAACTACTTGTGCGACTATTTGTACCAATATTTCCAATATACAATCACTTCACTTACTACATCGTTATACTTCTACCTCTAGCATGCATTCCACGTCTTGCAATTTCACAAGTTCCAGGGCCGAGTGATTATTTTAATTCCATTGATATATTCGAATGAGAATGTAATAAATGTAGCATCGGGCTGATTGATAGCAAATGACTCGGTTCCATGCACAACCTCAACTCCTCAAAAGTGCGATCCCTTGACATAGGTCCAAAATGAAATGGGTGGATGTAATTAACAAAACATAAAGTCATAATTCTAGGAGGCGAAGCCAGGCAAAGCGAAGCAACATAAACATGGTGCAGTTAAAATTCCATAGGATCGGCCTTGACAGCAGGGCCACTATCATCGCGTTCACGCTTGCCAGCACGCTCTTCCTTGATGAGGCCTGCGATGAATGAACGGAAGAAATCGATGTAAGGTTTCAGGCTGGTCTTTTCATAGTCCTGCACCTTACGACCACCCTTCATGTCGGAGCCATTCATCGCACTGCCTTCCACATCAGGGATATCAGCCTCCGCTGAGCCGGCAGGGTGTTTTGCGTCATATTCATCAATCTCGGCGAGTAGAGTCATTACCGTCGGGACGGAGAGAGGATCGAAGTTTTCGGCATTGCGAGGATCGATGGGAACACAAATACGACCAGTGCCCGGGTGAATAACGAAGGGACTCTTGAGCAAATGAATCATCTTCTTGCTGACCTCGGCATCCAGGCGTGGGTAGGTATATTCCAAAACAATATCTTGCTTCGCATCTCGGAGCGTCGCTGGGTTGAGCGTGCTGCTCTTACCAGTCTTTGCGAGTGAATCGATATCGGCCCATTTGCTGGTGCTGGCACGATCTGGAGAGGACTCCCATTTCCTCCTCAGGGATTCGTTCAATGTCTTGTCAGGCAATAAGGACAGAAGGCGTTCTGCCTGCTCGGCGGATTCAAAGGTGTCTTGGTCACCAAGTGTGGTCCGGGCAAAGTCGTGCTTGAGCAACTCAAGACTGCGTACAATATGAGGGTGTAGTGGCCGTTTGATGTTGACTTTCTTTCCACTTTGTGACCCCCCGCGGATCATCTCAAGATAACCAGCAATGGCTCGGCGCCGATCATCCGGTAGATTGCGCGCACGGGGATCACACACCCAGGCGTGAGCACCACGACGACCCGAATAAACCCAGAGGATGTGTTCAAACCCAAAGTCCTCCCGTAGTGCGGTGTCAATGACCTTGATTGACATTGTCACAAATGACCAGCACTTCGCGCAGATATTCGCTTTCACACAACATGTACGGATGTCATCATAATCAGTCAAATCAATATCGAAAACCAATTCCTTGGAGACTGGCTTCATTTGGCCGCCTCGTAGCGTTTTGCGATCGCGTGGGTTGGTGCTATAGACAGGTCCGATTTCGAAACGAGAAGGATTCATCTTAAGTATGTCTTTCCGAAACCTGGGCATATATGTGTTAGCTCAAAGGAGATTCGACAATAAAGGTCGAAATAGGTCTTACAGGTCAGCAGTTGGATATGATTGGTATCGGAGATAGGCGTCATTTTGCAGCGTCAGGGCAAATTCTCGGTTGCCGAAGTCTTTCGTTGGTACAATTCCATGATTGAGCCATTGAAAAAGGTATCGAAAGGGGAAAAGTCGTTGATAGAAGGCGAGCATGACATCCGAGTCCACACCAGAGGGTGTGGGTGCTGGAGGCCTGTTGCGAGCTTTCGGTCAGCAGTCAGGTCCAAGGCTGCTGTTTGATAACTTAGCACTCACTGTTCGTTCGCGGCTGGAGATTCCATCTTCACATCTCCCGAAGCCGGGAATTCCTCGTCATCGTCATCATCGTCGTTGAACATATCCTCGAGTCTGACATTGGTTTCAGTCGAGGTCTCGATAGCAGGGGCGTCCGGCATGTCGTCGTCATTCTGCACAGAGCCATGTGATATGGAATGAGGCATTATGGGCGATTCTGGTAATGGCAAAGCAAATGCTCTTTCCAAGGTTCTCCGGGGCTTAATTGAACCCAAACAGGAAAGCGCGACGCGCGACGCGCGATGCCCCGTGCACGCGTCTGCCCTAAGCCCTACATCACGTGCTATCCCAAAATGGATATGCTATCTATGACCGAAAACGGATGGGTTGCCTCTCCTCGGTTTTACTTGGGAGAGACAATCGTGAAATCTGCCACAGGATGTCAAGGTACTAGATCCATCCCCTTGCCGCTTGCAACCAAAATCTCTGCAGTACCTCACTACCGTACCTCTTGCCCACCAGGATCCATGGATGATGCTGTTCCAAAAGACAACGAGCATGCAGGCTGCACATCACCTTGTCGGATTGGTTGAAGCCACCTCCGCGTCAATCTCTGACGAGAACCCCATTGTTAATTTGCGGCAAAATCCCCCATCTTCGCGCAGTGGGGTCTTGGCCTAACCCAGCGCTAGATTTAAATGTCCCCGTCATTGATTATAGCTGTCGATGTTACTATGGGCTACATCCGGGTTAATCCCTCAGAAAAGGATGTCCAGCGAGCCTACTGGTATTGCCTTTCTGAGGGAATAATTTGAGTTCATGCGTACATTCTTTCAAAGTGGCATCTACCAATGGAACGCTCATATACTCAGCCGGGTGCTATTTCCACATTCCAGAGAGCCAACCTTGGAAGGAAACATGCCTATTCGTACCTGGGGATTTTTGGCTGCTTCTGGTCTACTTGTTTGGCATTTTTACTGCGATGCTATTGGTCTCCATGGGGTCTCTACTCCCAATCAGAGGAGCCATCGCACTGGCAACTACCTCGTGGCTACTACTCTGTTAATGCTGAACATCTAAAATGGACCTTTTGCTGATTTTAATGCAAAATACACGTTTTCTTGAAAAACCATTAAGCGATTTTTTCTATGGAAACGAAGCAATGTGCAGTCACGCCGATAATCTGCTCGCTCGCTACTTTTGCGGATTGTGAGAGACTCCGGAGATTGCCAAGATCTTCTTATGCTTCCGCATTAGGTTACTTAAGTGGATGAAGATGGAGACCTCCTCCACTACTTACCCCAATGATACGACAGTCTGTCACGCTTGCATCTACGTTCGCCATATGGATGTATCATTGCACAAAATTTCCTCCAATGGCCTTGCATCTGTGCCTTTGCGATCTGAGATTGAGCTATCCTAGTACCTGCATTCGGCCTCATATGGTGACATTGAGAATCAGGTCTACCTTTCTGTCCTGGACACGACCGTGGCACCCACATCCGTCATGACTTGGAACCAGTGTTCTCAAACAGGGCATATAAGATCGTTCATCTCTTTCCACTTCACAAACTTTTTATCATCATCTCTTCATTCGTTATCTTTCCAAGTTTGTTTGTTAAGACTTTGATCTCTCGAAATGATCAACTCCGTTGCTATTCTGGCTCTTGCCAGCCCGGCCTTCGCCGGTATCATGCAGGCTCGTGGTGAGGATTTCGTCCGCCGCTCCGCTCAGAGCTCTGCTGCCGTTGCTGCCCCTGCCCAGGCTGAGGGCTGGGGTGAGAGCTGGTCCAAGCCCGCCGAGCACGTCTCGACTCACGACTCTTGGAGCAAGACCACTGAGTCGTGGACTACCCCGTGCACCACCTCGACCACCACCACCCCGGTGCACGAGCACACCACCACCACCCCGGTGCATGAGCATACCACCACCACTCCGGGGCACAAGCACACCACCACCACCCCGGTGCATGAGCACACCACCACCACCCCGGGGCACAAGCACACCACCACCACCCCGGTGCATGAGCACACCACCACCACCCCGGTGCACAGCAACACCACCACCCCGTGCACCACGTCGACCACCCCGGTCCACGAGCACACCACCACCCCGGTGCATGAGCACACCACCACCCCGGTGCACAGCAACACCACCACCCCCTGCACCACCTCGACCATTCCGGTGCACACCACCACCATCCCGGTGAACGGCACCACCACCCCCTGCACCACCTCGACCATTCCGGTGCACACCACCACCATCCCGGTGAACGGCACCACCACCACTAAGCCCCACGTTCCCGTGAAGCCTGGCACCACCAAGACCCTCACTTACGTGACCACCACCTGCCCTGGTAAGCCCTAGAATCTCTACCAAATCATACCCCTGGAACCACACATTCTAACAATACTTCTAGTCACCTCGTCTACCATCACCTCTGGATCTAAGACCTGGACTGTTCCCGTTACTGAAACAAACACCATCACCATCACCAAGACTACCGTCTGCACCCTGTGCGATGAGAAGCCTCTGACCTTCTACAACGCCACTCAGCCCGCCACCGCAGGCCCTACCGCCCCCGTTCTGAAGCCCACTGGAGAGGTCGTGGTTCCCCACAAGACCGCTTCCACCATCCCCGCTGTCCCCGTTGAGACCAAGCCTGTCGAGACCAAGCCTGTCGAGACCAAGCCTGCTGAGACCGTGCCTGTCGAGACCAAGCCCGTTGAGACCAAGCCCGTTGAGACCAAGCCCGCTGAGACCGTGCCCGGTGTCCCTGCTGAGACCGTGCCCGCTGTCCCCGCTCAGTCGCAGCCCGGTGTCCCTGCTGCCTCTGTCCCTGCTGTTCCTGCTCAGTCCCAGCCCGGTGTCCCTGCTGCCTCTGTCCCTGCTGTCCCTGCTCAGTCCCAGCCCGGTGTCCCTGCTGCCTCTGTCCCTGCTGTCCCTGTTCAGTCGCAGCCCGGTGTCCCTGCTGCCTCTGTCCCTGCTGTCCCTGCTCAGTCGCAGCCCGGTGTCCCTGCTCAGTCCCACCCCGCTGTCTCCGTGCCCGCTGTCTCCGTGCCCGCTGCTTCCAAGCCTGCTGAGACCAAGCCCGCTGAGACCAAGCCCGCTGCCCACCCCTCCGGCACCTCTACCCCCTCCACCCCGGAGATCGAGACGCCCTCTACCCCCGAGCAGCACGTCTCCACCCCCTCCTCCAACGAGTTCACCGGTGCTGCCTCCAACGTCAAGCCCGTTGCTGGCCTCCTTGCCGGTATTGTTGGTCTCATGGCTCTCCTGTAAATCAGTTGAGTATGGCCGATCCATCTCTTGATTGAGATCCGGATTCCTCTCGGTTCATGACCTCTTTGGTCCTCGTGGTGCGGATCAAAGAGACCTCATGGTATCTTGAGTATTTTTTTGTGAATTTCTGGCCTATGCCCCGCTTGGAATTTCTTCTTCTGCTTTTAACAGAGCCGGAGCATTAAAGATAAACGGTTGCTTGGTTATTTCGAGATTTTTGTCTACTTTATCAAACTTGTTTTCAATATACTAATAGTAATATATAGTTTTTATTTTTTATTGCTTTGATTCTTTTGCACATTGTATGTTTCAAGATCTTATTTATCTTAGAAAAGTATTTGTATTGAATCAAAAGTCGAAGCATCTTGTTTTAGAACAAATTCCCAAGGAAATGTCTCACATTAGCCCTAAGTCTAGGAAGGTTTGAACGCAACGTAGGAGATAGGACTGTTATGCTGTGGAGCACATCTGACGATCAGGGTGTGTCATTGGCCCTTGGACCTTTTAAAAGGTGGAATTACCCCTCAAGCCACCGAATCCCACCTCTCTGCTTCCCCCGACTTAGATCCTCCGATCTATTTATATCAATTCACGCTCAAGATGAGCTGGCAAGGTATGCAGATCTGCACAAACAAGCACTCCAATACTGATTGTACGGTAGGCTGGGTTGATCAGACACTGGTGGGGTCTAGAAAAATCGACAAAGCCGCTATATTCTCAGTAGCAGGCGATGCTCTACTTGCAACAAGTGCAGGATTCAATGTAAGTTTTTCAACTATCACTCTTCTTTGAAGTTGCAGCTAAAACGCCCTTCCGATAGGTTCAACTAGGGGAAGTCCAGTATATGTTGAGAGGCTTTGAGGATTCAATTCCTCTGTATTCTGGTGGGCTCTATGTCGCAGGGGAGAAGCTCATGGTCACCAAAGCAGACGATCAGAGCATATATGCTGAGAAGGTAAGACATTTTAATTTTCACTTCAGTGATGGCTCGCTAATCATAAGAATATTAGGGCAAAGAGGGCGTGTGTGTGGTGAAATCATCGCAATCGATAGTCATCGCTCATTATCCTGAAACAGTGCAACCTAGAGAAGCTGCAAGCATTGTTGGGCAGTTTGCAAATTATTTAACTAGCATAGGGTATTAGCTCGTAAGAAAATGAAGAAAATGAAGAAATGATCGTGATCTGGCGGACTATTTTCCATAAGAATGTTCTAGCCATTCAACAGGTAGCCTCCATATCGGCTATTTTAACGATTTTATACGCGCAGTATCGTAAGAGGTTAAACATACCGATACCGGTCAGCAGGCGTGATTTACTTGGCTATTAATGTACTTAAAGAGTGATAGCCCTTATTAAATTTCAATATTTATGTTACAACTTTCATTCGACTTCACCACCGCCTATCATCTACTTATCCGATTTCTCATCATAAAGTTTCACTTAAAATGAGCTGGCAAGGTAGTGACTTAATATTTGATTGTATCTTGACAAGGGCGCTAATTCTATGACCCCAGCCTACGTCGATCAAACCCTAGTAGGATCTGGAAAAATCGACAAAGCTGCAGTTTTCAGTGCAACAGGAGGTCCAGTTTGGGCAACTAGTGCAGGATTTAAGGCGAGGCTGGCTGAATCTACCTTTTTGGGGGTATGAATCACTAACATATTTTTGTATAGATCGAGGGTGATCAAGTCCAAGCTCTTGTCAAGGCCTATGTCGACCCACGTTCCCTTTCGGAGGGATTCTACATCGGAGAACATAAATATTTGGCTATAAAAGCAGATCATCGGAGCATCTATGGCAGGAGTGTAAGTTCTAGCTACCACGTGCTTGTTTCATCTCGCCATAACAAACTTGTCATAGGGCAAGCAAGGCGTGATCATTGCGAAAACGAACGAGGCAATAGTGATTGCACATTATCCTGAAACTGTCCAGCCCGATGAAGCTACCAATGTTACTGAGTCACTGGTAGATCACTTGATTAATATTGGATATTAGCTCCGTCATTTCATAGTCTTATATCTGAAGTCTAGATGAGAAATGAATATCGTAACTTCTCGGAAACATACAAAATTGAAGATCACTCGAGAGAACTAAAAATCTCCTTCATTCCAATCAAACCAGAAATATTCAAATCTTCCTTCGTCAGAACGGGTTCATCGACAGTCTAGCTCTTCTCACGAGGTGTCTCCCAAAATTGCAGCGTAAGGCCAACCTCTCGTTCCCACTTCGGCCATAAATTATCATAGCGATCAGGTGGAACTTGAATATAGTCAGCAGGCTTTCCTGAAACCTGGGATTACAGATTGATAATTTCACGTGTTGTTTTGGTCTCAGACTGCGCCAGAACAATGTTTGTCCCATAGTATTCAACCTAAAGGAAGGTGGTCTTGCTGAGTAGATCTTTGTCTTGTCTGACAAATTCATTGACCTTGAGCGTTCCCTCACAGTGAGGTATAGAATTTTTGCCGCCCAAAATCTTCCCATTGTTGGGATTAGTACTCCACATGAAGTGCTTTAGAGGGGAAGTCTGAGAATATGCCTTTCCTAGCTTCAATCTTAATCAGCTTTTCGACACCCTAGGTCATGAAACCATAGTCTATTTGGCACCTGTAGATAATTTCTCTCTCTCCACATATTCAGAGACTTTTCCAGGGTACCCTACAATTCATAATAGTATCCTCTTGATCTTCCCTCTTCCAGCTACTTTTCCGTATATTATTATATCTATCTCGTCTTTATATCGGGATGTCCTGGTCAATAATTCAGTATGGACTTGGTTACAAACTTCTCCTAATCCCTTTAAACGAAGTCAGGACGTTCGAAAAGAGGGAGAATGACACATACATTGCTAGTATCTATATCTCTATGTCTTGTATTCCTAAGGAACGTATCCACCCAACCCTTTAGAAAGGCAGCTCAAGAAAGTTCCATAATGTTCACTCTCCAGGCAAGTTCAGCAGATCCCCTAGATGCAATGAACTCGGACTTGGACGCAATTATTTGAGTCTTTGGCACTACCCTCTCCGCCGCCTCTTGAATAGCCCCTTCTATAGCCTCATCCCTGGTCCCCGTCATAATAACCAAGAGTTCATCAGGAAGGAGTGGCCCTTCGAACCAAGCACTTAAGAACTGATGAACGAATTCTGCCACATGCGACGCATGTTTATCGACCCGCGAATTAGCACCTAATTCAAAAGAAGCTGTTACAAGAGGGTCAGCGGACCCCCTATCCACATTCACTGTCCGTAGATATGTTATGTGCAGTAGGATAGCTTGATCGGTATATTCAACCAGGAGTGTTTCGTGCATCGGTAGTTGGTTTCCTTCATCCTTGCATCGGTCCTTGTCCTTAAAGTGCTCACATAATCCTAGCCCGTGACCCGCATAAGCAGCGTAAGCTTCCTGCGGATAGTATTCGTAAATGCCCGTGAGTTTTGGAAGACCTAGGTACTCCGCCATGTCGTAGATATCTTCTTCGTAAAGTGCCTCCATTCCTGGGTAGCTTATTATGACGTATGGAAGGGTCGCAGATTTACTCAAAGAGAGGAGCTTTTTGACTAGCTGGCTCATGACATGTACGTCAGGAGATGCTGCCAGACCTATCTTTTTGCGGAAAGATCGCCATGCTTGTCGGGGTATGTCGTCCCACATATCATCCATCGAAGAGTAGGGGGGACTGTTTGGGTTAAAATGGTGGAAGTTGCGTGTTAGGGAAGAGTTCGCTTAGGGAAATATACCTAGGATGAGATGCAGCAGGTGACGAGAGTCGCCTCATCATTTCGATATAGCTAGAGTCACCTTCGACGCGAGCAAGGTCCTCGAATGAACCGTCGGAGTGACGAAGGGATATAGTCCTGCGATATTTTTGTTAGTATGATTTCATTTCTACCGAGGTACGTAGCATCAGACCCATATGCAGCCGTGAGAGAAATGCCTATTGATGGTTTCGACGACATCTTTCGATCCATTTCGTATGGTACGCTCGAAGGCCAGAGGTAGTAGATGAAAATAAATGTCAGTCCTGTGATGAGGTATTTTGAAAGCATCTTTGTGCTCGGCCGAGCTGGTTCAATCGATGGATTGTTGGGTTGTTTTTGGAACATCGGACGTTGTAGGCGCCAGTAGGTACTGCCTTGTACTAGTTGCTGACAAGTACGTCCTACTCTTTTGAGCAGCGATGGAGTAGAAAATTTCTAAGCTAAATTCACAGTGATATGGATCGAATTCGGTGGGAGGATTAACGAGTAAGCTCAGAGTGACTACTCCACCATTATGGCATGCATCTTGGGGTTTCAATTATTCTCATCACAAGGACTACGGGGCTACGAGGCGGGTAATAGTTCGACCGACCCAATCCATCCTAGCAGGTTGGTCCATGTATTTTCCGATTTGAATACTCGGTTTTCAATGTATTGTAACATGGCTTTCGACAATCTGTGAGAGTAGGGAAGCACACCCCGTTCCTATTGGGGAACACGCTACTCCTAAGAGTCCACATTCCGTGATCCCCGACGGTTTGAATCATTGGATCACGAGCGGCGGCTCTAGATCTCATATAATTGGCCCAAGCGGCCCCTAATGCGAGTGATACAAATGGTCCAAATGCAAGAACTACGGGCAAACATTGTCGCCAGGTTGGCAATTCAGGGGCGTCGGGGACGTAGTCGCTATAAGAAGATCCCACATTATTTCAAAAATCGCTTATGTGCTACTCCGTACATCGCGAAAGATGGACTCTTTGAGCAGACTGCCTAGGGAAATCCTCCTCATGATGTTCAAAGGCCTTGACAGCATTGACGATACCCTTCGCCTTGCTCGCAGTTGCAAGTCGATGCATAGTATCTTCAACGAGTCTCGCCATCGCATGATCATTTTTAAATCTATTATTGTATGGTCACCACCCATATTCCCTTGCACGAATTGACAATTTGGAAAGTTTACCTCACCTCAGCACAAGTACGATATTCAACTCTGCCTCCTTCAAGGCGTCTTCCAAAACCTCCCATCCAAGCCCAGCTCCACTCCGAAGTCGTTGAAAAGACTCAAACCACAATCTTGGGCCTCAGTACTCAAAGGTCTATCCGAAAGAAATGATTTTACTGATTCGATGGTCTGGGAGATTGTTTGTCGCTGGCATGCTATGAAGCTACTTTTTGACCTTTACTGTGATCCGCTCATAAGAGAATCCTTTATGCGTTCTGCTATTCTTGACGAGTCCGACGGAATCCAGAATACCTTGATGAGTGAAGAACTTATTCCCAATCCGTCCATCTCTTGCTCGAAGATGAACCAGATCAAATCGACGCGAACTCAGAAGGCCTACAAGCGGTTTTATCAAGCCCTCACCGCTCACTGGGTGTCAACAGAGACGTTTTGCATCGCCAGGGGAGCAGACTATGAAACCTCGAAGGAACATATAGAGTGCTTCGACTATGTATGGGATGTCCGAGTTGATAACCCAGGCAGAGCCCTGGAAGAAAAGTTGGATATTTTGGAAGTGGTTGATTTTGTTTGGGGCTTTCTTGGTCGCAAGATCTTTCCAGGAGAAAATACTATTTCTGATTGGGTTGACCAAGACTACTTGGAGCTATCGGAGCCAGCCAGTCCGGAGTTGAACTGGCTCTACTTCCTGTTGCAAACCACCCAATATCTGCGACCACCGCATACTCTGGAACTTTTATCGCTTGTCACCTGGGTCCAGCCGGAGGCTTGCGTTATTGGGGACAAGTCGAAGTATCTGAGTGATCTGGGATTTTCCTCGCGTGTCTCAGAGGTACGTTCCAGAGCTCCCATTGCTAATTCACCAGAGACTTTCGTTCCTGTTCATATGGTAGATGAGGACGTGGTGAATAGCCTAACTCGGCATTGGGGTAGCGGATCACAACCTGATACCAGGGATAGATGGGACCGGTATAGGAAAGGGCGGTAGAACTCTGACGCAAAGGGAAAGCTACTCTTCGATGAATTATCATCTGTACAATGGGTTGAACGTATCGAACAAGTTTAAATCAACGTCGAATATTTTCGTGGGACATACTCTTTGCTAAGCTGTTAAGACAATGGATTCATACCTTCTGGTGGTGCCCGGTGTAAATCACTGTTGGAGAGACGAAAGTGAGGTGAGGGGATCAGCTGTAGGCACAACCGCACAACCACACCAAAACCAGGGGATAAAGGATATGAAAATGACCCCACTTCTTCTTATAGTAGAGTTCGAAAACAAAAAAAGAAAGGGTAAGAATAAGCAAAAACAAAAACATATAATATGTAGTCAGAATTCGTGTATGGCCACCCTCCATGCTACTAACTAACCGGTGACTTAAATGACAGAATACCTTCAGAATAGCCTCTTATAATATATCTACCGTCTCTAATCTTTGACCGCTAACGCCTTATCGGTGATACTCTCAGCCTGAGATTTGATGGCCACACTCGGGTCAAGAAGGTCTAACATGCTGATGCTTGTCGCTAGTGCTTGGAGGAATGAATTTCGCAACTTAGCTGCAATCAAATTATCCACACCAAGTTCTGCCACGGACTTGGACCGATCGATGTCTTCTACATCACTAAACAGCATATTTGCCACAGCGTTCGTAATAGCACTTTGACCAAAGGACACCGTATGGGCACGCTCAGTTGCTCCCGCTTGAACAGCAGCATCAAATGCTGAACGAACAGAAGCAACAGTATTCTTGGAACCACATCGTGTTGCTGTGGGTGGTTAAACGAGGCATTTGGGGGAAGCTTGAATGCAAAATGCTGGAGCAAGAAACGGTGTCCATGGCAGATTAATAAGGCTAGAGAGTAAAAGAGCATCCTCACATGTGTGGGAGGTCAATTAATTGTTACTGTACAACCAGAGGTGAGGAAAGTACAGGGGGGGGGGAAGCGTTTATATATGGATTCCTTACGAAGTAAGAGGGAAATAGTATATTTACACTATTTATGTACATGTATTTAGGGAATAGGCCTAAAAGAAAAGCCTAAAGCCTATCGTGGGCCCTGGAACCAGGCCTAAAGCACAGCAGCTCCAGCCTATTCGTGGGTTAGGCTTGAGGGTTTGTGGGCTCCGCGGAAGCCTACATACTACTGTTGACCTATATTGCAAATTCCCGAGGGAAGGACAAATCCTTATTAACCCAAACAAACGATCTCCCACTTTAGATTCTTCAATCCTTTCCACCTAGATTCCGACATATCTCTTACCAGGAGACGCCGGTAACACACACCAGCACTATTTTCTTCAACCAACATTATGTTCAACAAGAGTTGTCCTCCACGGCTTGGCCTTTGGACCGAACCGCCAACCACGATGAACTTGCCTTGTGTTACCCCCAGCCTTGGTGCTTTGTAGGTCCAAAACCAAGGGTTTGATTCTTTCTCATCACCGATTCCAGTATTGAGAACCCCTGCCTGGGTTTTGTGAGGTTCCTGGTGAATACTCAGAATGGCAGTGCTAGTCCAGAAGCAAAGAAGGGCTGGAGCCACGTCGCTTGACCGTATAGTATGTGGGATATCGGACGTAGTGATCTCGGTTTTGTTCTTATCCATCCAAGTGTGTTCGACACCAGAAGGATATCGAGGAAGGTATGCGGTATCGCTGCCAAGCTTAGCAATAGTATCATTCTGGAACTGAGACACCTCTCCATCAAGATTATTGTGAATCGGTGTTGGGTCACCGTCGCGGCCCAGTTGATAGAACCTAAGGGGCAACAGGCCTGTTAAAGAATGAACAGTATCAACATCCATGGTGATGGATGATCCGAACCATCCGCACCATCCCGCCCACGACCAACTCGGGAATGGGCTGGAAACGCCACCTGCTGCTATGGCGTGGCGAGCAGTGTTCCGCATAAGAGATCCTCCCCCGGTCCAAGACAAGGAGAGTTCTAAGCGGCTCTTCGGCATTCCCCAGAAGAACTCTTGTCCTCCCTTCGAGTTGCCAAGAACACGGAGAACGCCGGTGAAGGCGTCCAACCGGTCACCTTCTGAAGTGAGCTGTCGTTGTAGATATTGTTCCAGTGCCATCGTGTATATTCCGGACCAGTGGATCGATGTGTCTCCAAACAATGACCGCATGGTTTCCTGGCTCAGGCTCGTCCTTCCAAGACAGTGTCGATACATAATTGGAATTTCCCGGGAGTTTTGCTCCCAGGATCCATCTTCGCACCAAGAAGCCCCGAGGCATTGCCAGTAAGCTTGCTCCTGGGTGAAGATGAGACATCTCCGCGGCAGTAAACATTCTTGATAGGTCCATCCTCGAGTGTACCATCTAGAGTTCTGGAGGTAGCCCTCGAAGGGGCGATGTGGTGGATCGAGGGATACTGTAAGCCACGTACCGTTGACCTCGAAGACGTCCTGGGTCGGACGCGGGGAGGCCGCATCTATGCCAGGGATCCCAGAGGATACTTTATCGGCGGCTGCGTTTATGATTGCAAAGGTTGATTGGCCATAAATGATATCCATTGCAGGAATCCATCGCAACTTGTCTTCATCGTCGTCTTGAACGATACAGAGCGAGTCTACCCAAAGGTAATCTTCCCCCATTTCCCGCGTAACAGTTATAGCGTCGAGGATTGTCGAAGGCATATTTTCAGCATTCAATGCCCCTGGTTGGTGGTATGACGCATAGTTGTCCTTCTTCAATGCATGTACCTGGGCCTCGCCCCAGACATAGCTCAGTGCAACCCAGTTCACACCCTCTGAAGAATCTAGCGTGACGACGCACGCTCTAGCCACGTCAATTAGGCGGATAGAAGGCATAGAGGGGGCACGTTCTGATGCAAACTCGGTCTTCCCACAGAGGTCACGATGTTCTTCTGTGCAATAGTCCCTCCAGAATTTGAAAAGCCGTGTGTCGGCCACAGAAGGCCGCAGTCTCGCAGTGTATGGCTCCGCTCCTGCCAGATTGCCAGAGTCGAGCATATCGGACACATGCACAGGCGCGGTACTACCGGCCTTTTGGATGAGCCCCCCGTAGGTGAACTCGCCTCCAGCCGACCGCTTATCAACCCAAATAGCGACACGTGTTATGGCTGTCTGGCGATTCTCTTCGTCGTATGGCAACTTTTGGGGCTCCAGCGTCCGGATTTCATGACTATCAAAACCGACTGATATTTGAGAGGCCAACGCGACTTCATTGTTGTCAGCGATAGAGACCAACCACCCGCAGATCCAACAACTCTTTGCGGATGCTACAGCTTCCGCCAAAGTGAGACTCATGCGCCAATGCTCCCGGCCCTGATCTCTAGCTTTCTGAAAACCGAGGTAGCTGAAGTCCAGGAGGCGACATTTCGAACAGTACGAGTCCAGTCCCCCTGCCTTTCCCGCTCAGCTGCTGCGGGTGTTTGAATGTATCGACTCCGGAAGGAACTTGTACTGTACATACCTGCTGGACTGCCTGCTGACGTTTATTCATGCTAGCGGGAATCGGTGGTTCTCGTGTGTCTATGTGGAGAGAACTTGTTGTGTGGGAAACCGTAATGTATTCGGGCTAAGGAGCCGGTAGGATCGCAACGGGCGCAAATATTAAGTAAGCGTCTCCTTGATCCATTCACTTCCCCCTGAAAGGTGTTGCTTTCTGTTTCCTCATGCTTATGATAATCAACACGGCTGACGATTAGGTACCGAAACAGGACCCTCTTATTGGATACTGCCTGACCGCCGCTATCATTGCCCTCTTGAAGCATGTCATCAACTGCTGGCAGTACTACCAAGAACCAAGCGGAGTGAGTCTTTGCTCTAGGACTTTGACACTCTTGTCATTTGTTCGCTTACTATGTTCGGTGTCCCGAAGTTACGGGTGGAAAGGCAGTAATTTCTAACCTCAAAAGTTGTCATTTTTGGCGTCAATTCCACAGGTCCTCGTATTCCAGTTGTAAACCAGAATTCAACCTACAGAAAATGTGCCGGCAGAATACATTATGCCTTCTATGTCGGGTATCAATCAGACATGATCAGGCGTAATTTAGGTAGGGGAGGTTAGACCTCCGCAAAGCCCAACCCCCCACCCACTAATGGGCTGGGTTTTGGGCCCGAGTTAATGGCCCACCGGGCTTTAAATAGGGCCTAATAGGGCCTAATAAGTACCAAACAACGCAAATATTCTTAAAACCGTGAATTTTTTTGTTACATTATGTTTAGACACCGTTCTAAGGCTTTATGATCTATGATGGACGTAGATGAAGATGATTACCAATGATGATGATCGATGACCAGTGACAGATGATGGGTCTTGACGATGATAGTCAAAGATAGAGAGAGATGGGTGGTGAGGAAGAAGAAGGAAGGTTCAAATGATGAGGGCGAGGCCTTCTATACTCAAGCAATTGCGCGTGCTAGAGTAGCAAATAGATATCATTATCATTTAAGGTGATATTCTATTATTTTAATTTAGATCACGTTTGAAAACGCCAGAAAACACGTTGTTAAGATAATTTATAAATTCTAGAAGTCCCTTAGAAAGTGGTGGTACTCCTGTATAAATCCTAAATATATATCTTGTCAAAACATTAATATTAACCTTGTTCGCGGCATCTTGACCTCTACCGGTAGAATTTTGTCTAGAATTGAAAAAGTACTTATATAGCTATTAGTGATTATACTTTCCAAAGATTCAAACTCTATATAATAAGTAGAAGCTTAGAATACAGCGAGAATAAGATACTACTTAAGCCCCATAAATGGGCTACAATAGGGGCTTTATAGGCCCCCACGAATAGGCTGTGTGTTATGCTTTGGGCCCGGGTTCGGGCATATATATGGGCTTTGCGGAGGTCTACTTAGAAATGAAACTAGAACCTTGGAACCAAGATCAGTCAGAGATTCCTATGTAAGCGCGGAGGGCACATGAAAAACTGTTTAGTAAGATCTGAATAGTTACTTGGTTTTAATAGTCAACCCTCGATCTAGAAATTTCTGCCGGTAAGAACGCCTATCTAATTACCCCGAGGATTTGGTGAGTGGCTTCATCCTCTCGGGCTGAACAATCACCAGCAACGGTACGGGCACAGCAGCTAGGAGTACAAACGCCAGCAATGAGTTCCCCCAACCATAGCCGAGCGTAGAATACATATACGGAGCAGCGACAGGAAGAAAAGCCCCGGCGACGTAACGCAGAGGCAGAACAGCGGCGACAGCAGAGGCGGAGCGTTCACCAAAGATGTCTACTATGTAGTTCATAATCGGGGTGGTGCTACTCGACAGTGAAAAGCCGCATAGAACGGTAGCGACGGTCGGAACAATCCAATGATAGCGAAAATGGAGAGACCATCCGTACAGTAACAGGCCGACAGGAAAGATGACCATGGCCGGGATTATAGGGATAAGCCGGTTTTCGGGGCACAGCGTAGTGCAATCATCGGGAGTTTTGCGTGAAATCCCGCGAATCAGGAAGTAATCGAGGGTAAAGGTGCACATAAGAGCGCCGCTGAGCGTGCCAATGGCTTTCCAGAGGTTAGATTTCAGATTGTCGCTAGATAGAGCAATGACTTCATAGGATTGGTCGGGACTTACTCAATGCAATGTATATAAGGCCAGAGTGACTCTCAGAGAGACCGTAGACATCCTGAAAGACAGATGCAGTGGTAGCGACAAGGAGCGAAACATAGCCGAATAGGATTGACAAATACAGCGCCATCAGCACTGCGATGCGAGAGCTGCTTAGGATGACAAAGGGCCGTACAGTAAGCAGAGAAATACTTTTAAAAGTTGTTAAATTCCATCCTGTGAGGTACTTGGACGGCGAGCTGACGCTCCCTAGTCCAGAGCCGCTCTTCCGAAGCGCCCTCCGCTGTATTAGTGGCACATATGACTCTTTCAACACAGCCACCATGAGTAGTGACAGACAGGAGGTGGCAATAGCCATCAGCCAAAAGGTCCAACGCCAGCTAAGGTACTGTGTAACGTAACCTCCAATGATTGGACCCACGGCACTGCCAAGGATAGGGATCATACTAGTGAGCGACATGGCTGCTCCACGCTTCTTTACGGCGAACAAATCGCCCGTGATGGCTGGGTTAAGACAGATGGAGGCGACAGATGCACCAGCCAGGAACCTGAACACAATGACCATGGCAAGGCTGTTACTAAAGCCTGTGATCATGGTGAAGACGAGGAACATGAGATTAAAGAAGTGACAGACTAGCACCCGTCCAAAACGCTCGGACAATGGTCCAATATAGAGCGGGCCAATCACTTGCCCGAGATTGGGAACGGTGATGAAAAAGACCGAAAGAAAGCTGTCGTAATTGTTGAACTGCTGGGCAATGACAGAACTTGCCGGGGTGCAGATGACGAGAGACATGTTGCTATAAAGACCCATATCAGTACATAAATACTACTTGCATGTAAACGCAGTCAATTGTAACTGACACCATCAGGGACGTCAACGACAAAATGATCAGGATGAGCCACTTCCGCCTGTTTGACCAATTCTGTGGCATCAAGGAGCTGGCTACGTCCACGTTCGCCTCCATGTCCACAGTAGTGGGGGCTTCTTGCGCCTTTAGCATCCCGTTCTCCACCACCAACATTTGATTCACTACTACTGTGGCGAGGTCAGGCATGGACATAGATACCGAAGGAACAGGAGTGACAGTACCGCCTAACCCTGACTCTTTGCTGGTTTTCATCATGAGAGTCTCGTTGAGGTGTCCCACCTTCATGCAATAAGAGGAAGAATGAAGAGGAATGATAAATAATTGTAATGGGAAGAATTTAAACCCCAATTATAGACCCGGCCCTAGGACGGCTCAGCCCGAGTCCACGGCAGCCCAGTCTGCTCGAGCTCCGAGGTCCGACACTAGGCAGTGATAGAATTTTTTCCCGGTATAGTCCAATTTTTGAGATATAAAACTAATACGGGATTGGCGGAGCTAAGTTACAGTAGAAGATCCCGAACTGACACTCAGATCGCGGCGTTCTGACCAAGGGAGTTCTAGTATACCCGCTAACTACAACGCGATGTTACTTTCTAACTGCAGCCTTAACATGTAAGGTCTAGTAGAACTGGAGCTCCGTGTTAAAAAGGCATAATACCATATCCATTTGAAATTGGTCTACGTATCCTGCAAGGTACTGTGAGTAGATAACGATATCTGAACGCAAATCAAACAATTCATAATAGATACTACAAACCGTTTACCTAACACTCCCACTAGACCAAGAAAGTCATAGAAATCGTTCAATATTTGAAAAGAAGATGGAGGTTTGCTGTATATAATGGACAGTACCTTTAGCAATTACAATAGAGCTTCATGCGCGGTACCAAGGGGGGTATGCACTACTATTTACCCCGGTATGTGCCTGCAATTCGAAGGAAACAACTGGATTTTCCTGTATCCATGTGTTACAGCAGTACGAAGAAGAAGGCAGAGATTTGGAACCAGAGCTATTCAACGAGCGTTGGCATTTACATAGTATTGGGGACGCATCACCAATAAACCCATTGCTTCTTGTATATAATCCCCTTCGTGCACACCGGCGAGGACGCCCATGAAGTGCTATAAACTTACCAAGCACCCAGCTGCAGGCATAGATCCTCTGTTATCCACCTGATTCATTGATTAAAGCCCCTTTATCATCTCATGGTCGTTCCGTACGCCGAGATCCGTCGTCAGAAGAACCCCGGGGACGAGGGTGAGGGCGGGAGCGGGGTGTAGCTCTCGGCGGTCTAACTCGGGGTACAAATCGGGTTGCCACTCGGGGCGCCTCTCGGGGTGCAGGTGGTACGAAGTATACAGAGGGTGAGTGTGAGGGTGCAGCTTGGATGACGACTCGGAATAAGGGGCGGCGAGGTGTAGGCATAAATGAAGATGCGGAATTTATGTATTACTAGTGATAGAAATGCATGCAGTTATAAGAAGCAATCGGTTGAATTAAGTATTTTATTGTAGGTAGTATAATGCATTTTTTTTAACTATGTGAACGGAGGAGCTATAAACTTCCTTTCTGGTTAGCTTTGCCTTTTTAGGTTTGGCGCCTCCCATTAGCCTCCGCCTGCAACTTGGGCCCCAATCGGACACCCCGCTGCCCCCCTTACTTTCAGTCGCAAAGTGCGGCTGAGTCCTTGTCGTTTCCATATTCGCAACGCTTAGGATATCATCTGACCTGACTACGCAAGTGGTGCCGTAGAGACAAATCCCCTGTCTTTTCTGAAATACATATTCTCGAGCAATGCGATATAGGAATAGGGTTATCCTTTCGCAGGATTTCCACTCATTTTGCATAGTTCACTGTTCCACCAAAGCCTAGATTGTTCATCCCGTTTCCCTCAATGGCTTCCATTATCTCCTTCCACTGTTAGATGTTAAATACCACATGGCGCCTCAGGTTGGCACGCTTTCAGGTTTAGCGCCGTTCCTGGTCGCTTTTGCCGCCCAAGCAGCTATAGATGCGGGGAAATCTGTGGGGAAAACCGGAGTTGGACATATCGAGGCCAACTTGGGGTCAAGAGCTCTCCCTCTTCCCTGGGCCGAGTCGCATAGACCCCTTACCTCCGTTGGCCGACCACCGGGGACACCAAGACAAGCCAAGACCCGAAGAACAGCGCCAAGGGAGCTTGGGTCCCGAGTCCACCCAGTTACCTTCTTTTTCATTTGACGGCATCGCCGGTGTTTCTGTGGTCTTTGTCAATGGGACATGACCTCCCTACCACACAGCGGTGCACACTTACCAAAATTTATTTGGAATGAGACCTGCAGCCTTCCAATGTTACTTCACTGCGGGTTCCAGCTCAGCATTTTCCTATTCAGTGTCTTCATCAGATGTCGACTTTCCCCACAACGTACTTCCAGTGCCAAGACTATCAGTTTCTCCGCGGTGGTGAACCTTTATAGGCCTCGGGAATCATCCGAAGGGCGGGGAAATGAGGATATCTAGAAATAAGGTATGGGGCACATACCTACGTAGGCATGGCTTGCAGGGATATTAGCGTGGTCCTGAGCGGACACTGGAGAGCGCCATTGATGTGACATCGGGGAGCCATTGATTGGCCCACAAACACTACCCGTGCTTGGCGTGGGGTAAAGGTTGGGGTACGCTTTGATACATCGCCGATCACTCCAACTCTCCAGGGCTATCCCTCCCTCGTGGTTCTGGAAATGCTACCGCGGAGAAGGCCATGAGGGCCATGCCAAGGAGTTGGGAATCCTTTGAGTCTTGGTGAGGCATATATCTGCAATTTACGGCGTCATGATCCACTACTAGCCATGCAAGTGTGACTCGCAGAGCTCTCGAAACATTTGTTCCGTTCATTGGCCTTTTTTTTCATTGTTGTAATCGGATGAAGCCGTAATATTATCATCTATGTGGTCCTTGTATGGTATATCATGAATTAACAAGCACACTTCATCGTCACGATGTTTACAGGCTCTACAGTGTGCTAATTTCGATCGAATGGTGGTTTGCGCTGGGAATGACATCAAAAGAACGGTTTATCACACAAACCTACTCGTAGAAAGCTTATAAAGCTATATGATCACTCGTCCTCGCCAGAGTATCGGGGAATTTAGGAACAACTTGGATTGGTTAATGTCAAGACCAAGACTCAGCGCAAGCTAGCCTTGGGCCGCCGCATGCACTCCCATGGCGCAATATTGGAATTTAAGAGATCGTTCATGTCCGCTCTTGAATGCAGCTTCCCCCTCACAGTCTTCTCTTTTCTGTGACTGCCAGTGTCGAAGACCTCTGCTAAGCTCATCATCTTCATTCGAGATTCGTTCTCTCGAGCTTTGCAGTGCTGCTACATTGTGTCTTATACAAATTCATGACCTCAATCTACGATTGACCTGTTTATCTTTTCTTTGCAACTCGTCTAGAGACAATAAATAAGATCTTTTATCATGGCGGGTGGTGCTGCTATCAACATCTTCAAGTTCAACACGGGCAGTTTACCCAAGGAGACCCTTAACGCAAAGCTATGGTTCGCCGTCTTTGCATTCGGTCTCATGGGTGCCGCACGTGGTGTTGACGAGGGTCTCATCACGGGTGTCTTCAACTCTCACGCTTTCAAGCTGTCTGTCGGCATTGACGACCTCGAGAAGGATGAGCTCGCGAGTATCAAGGGTACCATTTCCTCCATGGTTCAGCTCGGCAGTGTCGCCGGTGCTCTGTTGTAAGTTTTGCTATTGAAACACATCGCCCTCGTATCTATACCCCAAGAGCTTTTGCTAATCATAGTTGAATAAAAGTGCTTTCGTCGTTTGTGATCGTATCGGCCGTGTTTGGGCTACTCGCCAACTCTGCTGTCTCTGGATTCTCGGCATCGCTATCTTTATTGGAAACAATGGCAACATGGGTGCCGTATACGCTGGTCGCTTTGTTGCTGGTCTTGGTATTGGGCAGACTTGCGTCGTCGGTCCCATATACCTTTCGGAAATCTCCCCCGCTCCCATCCGTGGTCTCTGCACCTGTATGTTTACTGGTGCTGTGTACCTGTGAGTTCATAACCCTTTTGTTGTTTCCTGTTGCCTCGGATTCCGATACTAATACTAAGTCTAGTGGTATCATGATTGCCTACTTTGCCAACTGGGGTACTCAGATTCATATGGCGGACTCCTTCAACCGTTGGGTAAGTGGTGGCCACTACAATCGTTGTCGTGCTGATTTAGCTAACACGTCCTCCCATACAGGCTGTCCCAACTTCACTCCATCTCATGTTCGCTGGCATCATCCTGATCCTCACCTTATTCCAGCTGGAGTCTCCCCGTTTTTATATCAAGCAAGGTAAGCGCGAGAAGGCCCTTGAGGTTCTATGCAAGCTCCGTGGCCTACCCGCCGACCACCCGTACGTCCTGAACGAAATCACCGAGATGGACGTTGCCTTTCAGGAAGAGATGGAGGCCACTCTTGGCATGGGCTGGAAAGGCCTGTTCAAGGAGATCCTTGGCATCAAACGCAACGCATACCGTCTATTCCTCACGAACCTCGCCCAGAACATGGCCTGCTGGTCTGGCGGCTCCGCGATCACCGTGTACGCGCCGGACTTGTTCACGCTCGTCGGCATCACCGGCCAAGAGCAGTCTCTGTTCTCGACTGTCGTCTTCGGCGTGGTCAAATTCGTTGCTGCCATCATCTGCGCTCTCTTCCTAGTCGATATGGCCGGTCGTAAACGCTCTCTTATCATTGGCATTGTTCTCCAAACAATTGCCATGTTCTATATTGCAATCTTCCTCAATCTCGTCCCCATTGCCGAAAACCCAGACTTTGTCCCTAGCAAGACGCAGAACCGTGCATCGACCGCTGCAATTGCCTTCATCTACATCTCGGGTGTCGGTTGGGCCTTAGGATGGAACAGTGGTCAGTACCTGTTGTCCTCGGAGTTATTCCCTCTCCGTATTCGTGGTATCTGCTCGTCCATCACTATGGCTATGCACTTTATCTGCCAGTATGCTGTCAACCGCGCCCTGCCAGAGATGCTGCTCAAGGATGGAGGTCTCGGTCCTCACGGAACCTTTTACTTCTTTGGTGTTATTTCCGTTCTTGGTGGTTTCTGGGTTTGGCTCTTTGTTCCTGAGGCCGCGGGTCGTAGTCTTGAGACCATTGACAAGATGTTCGACCTCCCTTGGTACAGGATTGGTCTCTATGGAAGAAAGTTTGCTGAGGAGTATGACCGCGAACAAGAGCAGATTTACCGTGATGAGAAGAGGGATGCAGGTGCTGTTTT